TTCAGTCCTGCAATTTTCAAGCGCCAACTTCGGAGGTTTTTCATGCCCAGAAAGATTAAGAAAAAAAATTCTGAAATTTTGGGATCCTGTAGATTAGCGCTTGATCTTTCAGGCAAAAACATCAGAAAAATGGAAAAAAAGTCTTCTAGACCCTGGAATAAATGCCGCGCCAATTCAACACATTTTCCATTTCTGACACTCCGCAACATGTGGGCCAACGGGAAAAGCACGCTAACTTCCGTGATTTTTTGCGCTCAGAAGAATGCCTTTAAAACTCTAAAAACTGGAGAGTCTGTAGATTTGGCCGTGATCTTTCCACGAAAAATATTTTGTTTTCAAAAAAGATAATAGTAGGTGGTGAAATAAATGTCGTGCCGATTCATCTCATTCTCAATTTTTGCCACTCTACTACTCGTGGGCCAACGGGAAATGCGCCATTATTTCCGCAGTTTTTCACGCTCAGAAGAATTCATAAAAAATCTGAAAATTGGAGGGTCTGTACATTTGGTCATATGATCGTTTCGGGAAAAATATTTGAAAATTTTAGAAAATTTGTTTCAACCATGAAATAAGTGGTGGCGGCGGCAGCTCATCGCCTTTTCCATTTTTGTCACTCTGTCGGGTCTCCACACTATGCCACCAGTAGCCCTCATGAGCCTGTGCTACCGGTCCCCCGAATTTCCAGCGTTGGGTAGACTGGCGGTTTAAATCCACTGGTACCTCCGAGCCTGTTTTTGCCGACCCTGAGTTTCACTGCACACCGGAAGTTGCCGAGCCTAGGTCCCATTGTGTTTTCTTTTCTGCTTCTCTTCGGAAATGGAAAAACAAAGAAAAGAATAACAAATAACAAAAGAAAAGAAAAAAAAGCGACAAAGGGACGTGAGAGCAGCCGGATGCAGAACCTCGGGTACATATGAGAGTACAGTATGCACTCCCAACAGGCCTTACAGCCCTGTTGAAATCGCGGCAGCAGGAAAAATACAAGAACCGAAAGAAAAAGAAAAAAAACAAAGCAACAACTCTTGGGACGTGAAACCAGCTGGACTCCGAATCTGGAGTACATGTAAGACTATGTATGCCCTCTGAACAGGCGTTACAGCCCTGCTGTATGTAACCACTGCAGCATAAGTAAAAGAGATTCTTCCAGCAGTGGCGGTGCCTGTCTGAGCCTAGTGTATTGATCTGTCAGGAGGAAGAAACCCATCCCCCATCGGACGCAACTCTGTTTCAAACTAGAGTCTGGGAAGATTGTGATTAGGAAGGTGATTGGTCCTGTAGAGCTTTCGGTCAAGGTAAATGTCATTGATGGAGTTAAAGATTGACCCGTAGTTGTGGGGATGGCAGGGGGAAGGGGAAGGGGAAGGGGAAGGGGAAGGGGAAGGTGGAGCTGACCTGGCACTGTCCCAGTATTCGGTAGCTCAAGGCTACAATGCCCAACGTGCCACCCTTTCCCCTTTGCAGAGGGCCACCACACGGTGGAGACAGGGGATAGATTGTGAGAACAGTCAGATCGAGAAGGCTATCCATCGCTGCTGGGCCCAACTTTCGCAGGCCCCGAATCTGCGTGCTGCAGTCAATCCATGGTGGCTCTCCCTGTTTGCGACCGCTTCAGCGGTTACCCTGTTACAGCGGGGTATGCAGGTGGGATCTAACATGTAAAAGATGTGAGTGGGCGTTTGAATCTACTACGCACCTTTGGTATGATTGCCCCGCCTCGAAAAACATCTGGGATTGGTGGCAAAAATTTTGGGCATCCATTTCTGGACATTGTATGCCGTGGGACAGGTTGTGGGTATTACTGGGAGGGATTCCGGGCAACATGGACCTAAACAAAGGATGGGGATATGTCGCTCAGGCTGCCAGGGCCGTGGGGTGTGAGGTTATTCGGAAGCAACGCAACCTGCGAATTTTCGAGAACAGAGAGCTGACCAATAAAGAAATCAGAACTGGGTTTAAATCCTCTCTGCGACGCACTATTCAGGCAGATTGGGCAAGGAAAGGTAAGGGATCTTCGTGAAGATGGTTTGGTGAAACTTGGGGCTTGGGTGGGAAGCTGGTTAGACTGGAAGAAGGCAAACTCGTGTTCGATGAATGGTTCTGGTCTGGTTAGGCAAGAGTAGTAACCTGGCTGCCCGGTTGTTTTTCCACAGGAGGAAGGCGGTTGCTGTGGAGGGAGTGCCAGTAGAAGCTGGGGCGGGTCCCTACGGGGTCCATCTGTCGCGTTAGACACAGAACTTCAGATACGTCGTTTGCGTAGTATAGGGTAGCGCTTGGTATAGTTGTTTCAGTTAGTTGTTGCCTATTCTTTTCCCCTTTCTGGATAGTCTGTTGGTGGGTTAGTAGTCCAACCTAGCAGAGTTTGTTGGTGACTTTTTGGCTTGTTTGGCTTTTAAGGCTTGAAGCAATCTTTTTTGTTTCTGGAGTGGCTTCAGGACAGCGGCCTGGCTTTGGTCATTTCTGTGCCTAGATTAGCCAACTCCATCGGCGAGCCTCGACTCGTAAGCTAAACTGGCTGATGCTGCCAGGATAACTCCGGGTGGAATTGTGAGGTCCCCGGCCTCGTTTCTGTATCTATAATGTGAAGGGTCTTGAACCCTGTTTCGAGAAAAAAAAAAAAAAAAAAAGGCTACTACTCTTTGGACATGAAAGCAGCTGGATACAGAATCTGGAGTACATATGAGAATCCACCCCTCCATTGCAAAGTGTCAGCTGTCCGTGGAATGCACCCTGCCTCGTTGGCAGGGCACTAAAAGCGGATCGCAAAAAAAGAAACGAAAACACATGCAAAAAAAATGAAACTGGCTATGTTTCTGGGTAGATGCCCCAGCGTCCTTCCTTTCTTTCTTTTTCTCGGTTTTTCTTTCTTTCTTTTTGGGTGTTTGGAAATGCAACCGATGCCGGCCTCCGGTACCTCCGAATTCTTCAGGGATTGGCAGTTTTCCCTAATTTCCCAAAACTGGCAGAGGTACTACTGGTCTAAGCTGAATAGAACACACGGTAGTTATCACCGCACCTAGACTGGCGGTTGCCCCAGATACAGCTATGATGATCACACGTTCTATTCGGGGAAGATGGGTAGTTGTACCAAGCGAGACAGTAGCCAGCTTGTAAATGAATGCATCAAGCGACCTGTCTCTGACGGCATACTCGCAATAGGACTTTTTTCGACTCAATTCTAGACACAATTGCGGCCAGATACATCAAGACTGGGCCATTATTGCAGTCAGATACATCCAGAAAAGTCCCTATGCGAGTATATGCCCTGGCAGAGCCAAAAGAGACCAGGTAACGAGGAAATTGTCAAAATGCTGGTGTGCGCTCTCTGAGGATGGATACGGATATGGATGAGGATTATTTTTCGTTTTTTTTTTTTTTTTTTTTTTTTTTTTTTTTTTTTTGGGGGGGGGGGGGGGGNAGAGAGAGAGAGAGAGAGAGAGAGAGAGAGAGAGAGAGAGAGAGAGAGAGAGAGAGAGAGAGAGAGAGCATGTGACAAGGGAGATAACAAGCTCACGGAAAAGACGTCAGGGAAGACAAGGGGCAAAAGACACGCCTTCCCTTTCAACACCAAAAAGTTAAACTACTTGGCCAACATAGTTTGTCAACGGCGTCGTATGACGCAAAGTGAAGAAGACATGTAGCTGTTCTCCCTTCTGCTGCTCATTTTTGCATGGAGGGTAAGGAGAGAGATGGCACAGGAGCGACAACAGAGAGAACAGCTCCTCGCCTCTCTACTTGAGAATGCAGAAAAGGACCCTCGCTTGGCGGCCAGCTAACGCTGTTACCCCAAAGGGAAAAGAAGAGGAAAGGATGGCGAAAGAACACGTGGCAGGCAATCGTTTTCTTCAGAGGACGTGACGGACTCTTATAAACAGGGAGAGAGAAGATCGATAAAAGCGTAAACATTGCTCATTTACTCCCTCTTATAGATAGGGAATATCCACAACACGTAGATGGAAAATGAGAGAGAAAAAATGAGGAAGACAGAGAGAGAGACAGAGAGAGAGAGAGTCCGAGTGAGCGATCCACTGCGCGAGAAGAAAGAGGAGGGTTTTTTTCGGGGGGGGGGGGGGGGGGGGGGGGGAAGGATAACGATATGGAAATATTATGGACAAAGCTGTTTCGCTTGATGCTGACTGGCAGAATTCCTGAAGCACTGACTGGCCAATCAACTTCTTGGGGAGTCCTCCTCCACTGTGTCTTTTTCAAAGTTTTTTTTTCCCCCCTTTTTGTTTTGCCATCTGCCTTCTTTGCAGAAGATGGATGCAGGTTATAGTTCCCAGCATACCAATCAGAAAAAAGGGGAGAAACTTCAAAAAAGTAGAAAAAGAGGAAAAAAAAGAGGGCGGGAAACCATATGCTTTGCAGCATACTGACTGATACAGAGACAGAGCGATATGCTGCCGCCTCTTATTCATACACATCAACTGCAAAACATTCTAAATGTATCTGGAGCACATAACAGTCCCGATAAATTATGTCGGATCAATCCGAATGTATCTCGTCTCACTCACTGTCCAGATACATGGAGAATGTTAAGCAGAGGAGCAAGGCCCTATGCTTTGCTGTGTGGAATGACATATTATATCTGTATGCCAGATAGGGAATGCCAACTGCCAAGATTCTTTTTTTCTGTTTTTCTTTTTTTCCTGCTAAGATTCTTGCTGATAAGAGCTGTTCCCACTTTTCTGAAGATGGATGTGGATATGGATATAAAGGATATGTGATATGGATAACGATGTTTTTCCTTTCTTTTTTCTGATTCTGACAACATATAAGGATCTCGTTACTCTGCGAATGAATATGGTCCTAAAGTTGGTCAAGATTCCAACTTTGAAGTGGGCTATCAACTCGGTGAGTCTAACGAAAAGCAAGGGCCATGACACACAAACAACCAGAGAGCGAGTTAAGACCGCAGTTAGAAAATCATAAATAAATCAATAAATAGTGAAAAAACTTTAAAACGAAGAAAGACACAAGACGTGCTTCAATTATCAGTCGCACAGTTGAGATGCTGGAAATGCACACAGTTGCAGCAAGGGTGGGTGTGGGTGGAGAGAAGGGAGTACAGAATCAATGCACAACACTATGCAATGACAAACAGTAGAACAACAGCAAAATCTGAGAGCAACCGGACTGAAGCAGTGAAACCTGCCAAAGACCAATAGGATGCATGACCTATAGGAATGCAGACATATGCCCAGATTCCCCTACTCGTGTACAGGATACATCTCTCTCTCTCTCTCTCTCTCTCTCTCTCTCTCTCTCTCTCTCTCTCTCTCTCTCTCTCTCTCTCTCTCTCTCTCTCTCTCAACTGACGATGCTTTCTACACAACAGGTTGACCGCAGACGTTAATGCCTTATCCTTTCTGCATTGGACACCCCTCTCACCTCAAACCTAGTGTCACTTCCCGCCTATGCCTTCCATCTCCTTGGTACTTTTTTTCCCGTCCTTTCCGATCCCCGCCTAAATCACAGTCCCCATTTGAACTCTCAGCCTTCAGCTTCAACTTGACCTATACAGATCTCGCCCTCCTTCCGTTCCAACTCCCTTCTAGCTGCTGTTTTCCCGCTCTTCCCCCTCTTCCCCCTCTTCCGCCTCCTCCTCCTCCTTCCCCGCTTGTTTCTTCTTTCTTATTCTTCCTCCCTGAGGTCATCCTTCACCATCCTCCAAGCTGTGTCTAAAGCCTGCAAACCATGCAAAGCCACGTTGTCTTCATTGCACCCACTGTCTCCTTCATCAATATCCCGGCCTAGTTGATTGTTGACTCGCACTGAATTGGCTACCTGTTATACCCTTAGCTTTTGCTAGTTGCCACCATTGTTGTCTTCTTCATCTTCTTCATCTTCTTCTTCTTCTTCTTTCTCCAAACCCATCATGCCCCGACTTTCTTCAATCCTCTCAATTCGCCTCAAAATTGTGACTTGCCTTGCTCCGAGCATTTCCACTTCGTCCTTCAAAAAGTCCATACATTTTCCCGGCTTCTGCTCAATGCAACTCGGTGTCTGACCGAGCCACATCTTCCCAGATTTTTTGTCCCTCAAGATGACACCACTCTCGGCTTCCAGCCATGCAAAGCCGGTGTCTGACCGAGCCGCTTCTTCCCCATTCTCTCCTTTCCAAGCGGCAAACAAAAACGTCACCACGCCTCCAAGGTCACACAATTGCCCCTGATCCTGAAGGAGGTCATTTTACAACTGCGTCCCTTGCGATTTCTTCGATGCGGCTGGTTGCACCAATCTTGCTGCCATCACCCACGCTAATCCTCCCGGCATACACGCTCTTGGCATTTCATTCATTGCCGGAGGAGTTGGCAGCTACTCTGCACACCCTATTGGCCCCCCGTCTTCCCTGCTCTCCACAAAGCCTCCATGTGTCTGATCCCCATCAGTCCCGGAATCGTTCTCAGAGCTGCAATGCAAACGCCCACTGCGAATGGCGGCGGGAACGCCAGTGTTCCCCTCCGCAGTGCACCCCTCGACGAAGTCCTTACCGAAAGCATCCACGAACTGATCAGTCCTCTGGTGATTCTGCCTCATTTTGTTGTTGGCGATAGCCACCAAATAAGATAGATAATCCGTTGACACGAGGAGCCTTCCATTGTCGGCAATTGGTACCTCTAGCCGGATAGAACAGCGAACAGCAACCATTATCTTTCTGCTCATGCTGGAAACACCGGACTCTCGGAACCCCGCTCTAATCGCACAAGAAACAAGCCTCCCTGCATCGTCAAGAGTCCTGCAATCGACCGCCAGAATGAAGGGTTCGAACCGCAAAACGACGGGGCCATGGTGCTCGCTCAATCTCTCCTGCACCGCACTCACCAACTCTTCCGCAGCCACAGCATCGTGGCTTACAAACAACCACTCCCCACCCTTCTTCTTCTGCTGCTTCCTCGCTAACTTTTCATCTTCACGAAGTTCACCAAACACACTTATTCTACCGGAGCACGAGCTCGTCGTGTAAAACGAAGAGTGCCGATTTATCTTCCCGATCAGATCAATAATAGGCTGATCAAGACCGCCTTTGCGTGACCTATCTCGCTCTGCCGACAATAGTTCCGATAAAACTGCTGCTTTTCTTGTATCAAAATCCATTCTTTTGTTCAGCAAGGAACACAACCCGGAGGCAAAAATCTCTCAATCTCAACAGGCCACCACAATTGCTGAATGCAGCTCTACTGCAAAGGGAGTACAAATAGCAGGTCGAAGGACATGACGGCTAAGTTGGAAGCATACGATAATTACGATCGTTCGCATGTCAGATGATGCACTTCCTCCTCAAGTTATATAGTTCAATCCACTACGTTTCTCTAAGCTCTGCAACAAGGGAGAACAAATGGAAGGGAGGACACTTATTTGATCCGCTACGTTTCGCTAATGAACTCGCATGCTTCATCGGCTGCTTTATCCTCAAAAGGAATTGTGGTTAGTGGAAGGTTTAGGGTTAAGGGCTTACCTTTAAGGGTTTACAGCTAAAGAGTTTAGGATTACGGGTTTAGGGTTAAGGGTTTAGGATTAAGGGTTTAAGGGGATCCATGCTTGGTCCTCGAGGAAGGTGGGAGAATAAAATTGCTGCTAAGTTTGTAAGTTTGCACGCGAGGTCGTCATCTGCTTGCCCAAGGTATGAAGTCGATTACCGAGGGGACTTGAACTTGGCTTAAGCTTAAGAGTTCCCCGCTATCTCCACTACGTATGCCATTTCAGCTCCGATTTCATGCGTTTGTGCTTTCTGCCTTTGTAACTGCGATTCCGTGCATGAAAGCACCTCTGCCAGCGAGATTCCATACCTCCCTGGCTAATTCATTAGCAGATGGTCAATATACCTGTGGTAGCCTCTGCCTTCTTACTCGTTCTCTTTTGGCAGCAAACGACAGACTTTTGTTTCCAGGTTTGTTTCAAAGATCACTTGCCATTTAGGCCATACTACCATCAGGACTCGACAATGCACCTAACTCAAATTGCCACCATGTTCATTCAAAGCATTCTTGTCATCAGTACACTGTTCGTTGCTGTACCACAAGCTCCTTGGCAAACGAAAAACAAACAAAGCCGAACACAAAATAAGTGAGGAGAGAACAAGTGCCCATTTGTATGTTCGTGTGTGTGAACTGAGAGAAATCACAAAGTGCGGGAAGAACAAACTCGTCAAAATAGGAAAAACAAAGGCAGGCGCACCCGCGCGCGCACGGGAGAGAGAGAGAGAGAGAGAGAGAGAGAGAGAGAGAGAGAGAGAGAGAGAGAGAGAGAGAGAGGGAGCGGGAGTGCGCGCGCGGGAGCGGCCGCGCGCGCACGGGAGAGAGAGAGAGAGAGAGAGAGAGAGAGAGAGAGAGAGGTGTCTGTGTGTGTATGTGTGCGTGTGTATGTGTGTGTGTGTGCATGCGTGCGGGTGCTGCAGGGGAGCGTGCAGGAG